CCCGAGCCGAGCTGCTAGCAGTTGTCAGAGCTCTCCAAGCTACAGCTGGGGATGCCACGTATGTAGTTGACGCGGCTTATGTTTTCCAAGGGGCCAAACACGGCCCTGGGTATAAGTACAGAAATAACGCAGATCTCTGGGCTGAATACTGGAAGGCGGTCGCAGACCGCCCTGGCACGTTGACACTAGTCAAGGTCAAGAGTCACCTTGAGCGTTCGTCCGCGGGCCCTGGTTTCCCTCTAGAACACTGGTTTGCCAATGACCAGGCCGACAAGTTGGCCGACAAAGCCGCGGAGGAAGCCAAACCCCCCTACAGTTTGGTAGGGAAAGTGCAAGAGGCCGACAAATTGGCCTGGCGAGTTCAAAAACGTTTGATTTTAGTTGCCCTGGAGGTTGCGAAGAACGCTAGAGACTTTTATGGGACCACTTTGAAAGGCGACATCCATGCTAGAGCAGTAGCCAAGGCAAAGGCCAAGGCTCAACAGACCCCTCAGCTCATGAGGGATTCTTCGCATCGAATACTTCAGACCTCCAAGGGCTGGAAATGTGCACGCTGCCTGGTCATTGTGGGGAAGAGATCCCTGGAGGAGCTCTCGACCTCATCGTGCCCTGGGCGGCCGTCCGTGATCGATGACTCTCACCGGATCGAGAGCTTCCGAGGTCTTTGGTTTTGCCGCTTGTGCGGAGCACAGGGGGCAGAGAAATTCGTTCGACTCGCCAGGAAGTGTGATCGACGCCTTTCCAAAGACGGTCGGGCCACTCTCAAGGCCATTGACCTTGGGAACCTCCCCAAAGGGGTGGAACGATGGCCAGACTCGACGTATCCAGGAGAGGTCGCCACCCCGACGTGTCCTAGCACATGACTGACACGGGCGAGGACAAGGCGGGTCTCTCTTTCTTTTCTAGAGGTGCCGAAGTGAACTTCGGGTGCGCCTCAGGCAGTAGCGCAGGAGGAGGAGGAGGAGGTGAGAGGCGCCTACCCCTCCTGCACACGAGAAAGGGATCCGCACGATTTGTGAGCGGCTGCCTTGCGAGTAACCGCGTGTCGTTGCCCTGCGGTTCGGAGGGCGTCAACTCTACACCGACGCCGATTTTGGCTGGGTCTATCCCAGTCTCGGGACCTGTGTTATCTTCCCTGGCCAAGCCGGGAGTGAGTATACACAGACCCTGCCCAGGATGGGCTTGCACAGGTGCATAGTGGACGCCCTCCCATGTGGTGGTGGAGACGGGCAAGGAGTTCAACCTCGTGACCCCAAACCTCGTGACCCCTAAAGGCCTCCGTGGGCCGCGGAGCGGTCGCATGCCGTTTCCTGAGAGCGCCTGCTGCTGCTGCTGCCGTTCTTGCTGCTCGTCTTCCACCTCCTCCTCCACCTCGTCCTCCCCAGAGCTCCCTGAGTCCATCTTAGGGCATGTTGGCGGTGGCCTGGGGACATGTTAACGCGGGGGACCGCTGGGAGCGCCTGGGATACCCGCAAATTGGCGATCTTGGTCCTCGAGGAGTGCTCACGATATCCAATGCTGAGGACTCCTGAGGACCAGATGGCGCTATGTTCAGTGCCCACGACACGATGGTGTGCGAGACATGCCAGAGGGCATGCTTATCGGTTCGCGCGGAATCGAGACTTCAAGGTGCTGCTGCGGCTGCTTCGCGCAGCACTTGTCTCGGACACGGTGCTGTCGAGCGCAGGTTTAACGTTCGAAGCAGGGACCCAGGTGTCCAACGGAGCCTTGAGTTACCCAACGAGCATCTTGATCGGGTTGGGGCGCTTGCGATTAAGCAGACCGAGGGGGTGGGGACAGAAACAGCAGGGGCTATTTATCGCTGAGGGTCCCTGGTTGAAGAACATGCCGACCAAGCGGCCAAGGCGTCGAACATCTACAAACCTAATTTCGCGACCGTCAACGCATGAAGTCTCTTGCTCGTTGTGTGTTGATGGCGGCGGTCAAAAGCGAGGGGCCGACGCGATTTCGCGAATTGTTCGGTCGACATTTCGACAGCAGAACGTGCCTGACTGAAGAGACTTCCAGTGAGAGTCATACGATCAGCCACGACATCGAACAGTTGCTGAAGAGTGCGTCAGGCACTGGGACACTCATCGACAATGTGGACGTGTCTAGCGAGAACAAGCTCGGCACTGTCAGCACGGTGGCAGAACAGCTAATCATTTCCACAAGTGGGAGCGCACAGGGAGAGAGAGAGAGAGAGAGAGAGAAATAGCCAGAGAGGGAAATAGCCAGAGAGAGAGAGAGAGAGAGCGAGAGCGAGAGAGAGAGAGAGATGAAGCCAGAGAGAGAGAGGGACAGAGAGACAATATCGCGAGCTGTGCGGCGACTGCAAGTACGCTTCCTAGAACAAGCGCGACACTCTGTTCGACGATGGCGTGGACTTCGACGACAGAACGATCGGAGTATGGTCGAACTCGAGTATGAGTGAAGCCACCTGCGGGACTGGGTTGACGAGGACGATGGTGAGCCTGTCACCAAGCTGGCGACATCACACGAGTGCTTCGTGGCCGAATGTTCTCCAAACATCGCCATCGCCAGCTGGTAACTTCAAACGTAAATGTGCGCATGGAGGCTAGCGCGGACATCAAGCACTGCACATATGGGTTGACAAGAAAGGCGAGATAGCGTGTGTGCGAAGTCATGGTCAAGTGGACCGAAGACGAGGATGATGACGAGCACAATGATAGCTAAGATAAGGATGGGGATACTAAAATGGATGAGGAGATGCAGGAGGGGGTTGATGAGGATGAGGAGAAGGAACACCATGAGAGAGAGTAATCAGAGGAGTGGTGGGATGAGGAATAATGATGATGCTGCTGCTGCTGACGATGAGGATGATGCTGCTGATGATGATGCTGATGCTGATGCTGATGCTGATGATGACCATGATGATGATGATGATGATGATGATGATGATGATGATGATGATGATGATGATGATGATGATGATGATGATAATGCTTGATGAATGATGATGCTGATGATGATGATGATGCTGATGCTGATGCTGATGTTGATGCTGATGATGATGATGATGATGGTGGTGGTGATGATGATGATGATGATGATGATGAGATGATGATGATGATGATGATGATGATGATGATGATGATGATGATGATGATGATGATGATGATGATGATGATGATGATGATGATGATGATGCGTTGCTGATGATGATGAGGAGCAGCGATGGGAGATACCATATCGGTGAGGGGTGGGTGGGGTGGGGGGGGGGTGGGCAGACACCACAATGAGAAAGATCACGCATTCCATGGGGAGGTGGACGACGACGATCAGGAGGGGAAGGATACAGAGGGGGTTGATCAGGGGCCGAATTAGGTATACTAGTTGTTGTATTTGTTTTGGACGAGTGTGCTCACAGTATCTTGAGTGTTACGGGTGCGTGGGGGAACACCCGAGACACAGATAACACGTTTTTTTTTTTTTTTTTTTTTTTTTTTTTTTTTTTTTTTTTTTTTTTTTTTTTTTTTTTTTTTTTTTTTTTTTTTTTTTTTTTTTTTTTTTTGTTTTTTTTTTTTTTTTTTTTCTAAAAAAAAAAAAAAACATTTTTTATATATATATAATATATATATATATATATATTAAAACAAAAATAATTCCTTTGCCGTTTGCTGAGGTGCTGCTTGAGGGCCGAAGTGTGCTCAGAATCGCTTGCCTGGCAGCTGCCCCAATCGACATCTTTTTTTCCAGGGGGGCAGGGGGACAACCCCCCGTCATAACACGCACTGGGTCGGCCACTTCCCCAGGCAGCTTCTTGCACCAATGGGCTTGGCTCATGCCTGCCCTCGCTTTGGCACACCCCCCTCACATGTTTCGTGGCCCCATCGGGAGCTCCACCGAGGGCCCAACTGCCAGCGTTCGCGTGCGCCCGCCGCCCCCCTTTCGGCACACCCCTTGCACGTGTCGTGGCCCCATAGGGAGCTCCACCGAAGGCCCCTTGTCCACCTCGAGCACTGGCAGGCTGGGTTCCTCGTTTTTCCCAATCATCCTTGGGTGTTGGGTCCTCGTTTTGAAGAGGCAGTTCCGCGTTTTCCTCATTCCTTCCTCCTCCCCCTCCTCCTCCCTCCTCCCGTCGCTGCCCTCGCTTGGGCACGCCCCCTCACACGTTTCGTGGCCCTATGGGGAGCTCCACCGACGGCCCAACTGCCAGCGTTCGCGTGCGCCCGCCGCGCCCCTTTCGGCAAACCCCTCGCACGTTTCGTGGCCCCATAAGGAGCTCCACCGAAGGCCCCATGTCCACCTCGGGCGCTTGCAAGGCTGGGTTCCCCGTTGCTGTTTCGCCATTCGCAGCCCGTGGCCCGTGTCGTGGCCGCCTCGTGCGATGGCTGTCGTTTGCGCCCCGCGCGCAGGCTGCACAGCGCATTGGCACCACGCAGACCGCCTCACACAGCCTGCACCACACCGGCACCACACCATCTTCTGCACCAGAGATAGTGTGAGCCACATCGATATCAACACGTGCAGTACACCCTACACGTTGCATTCAGGATGCTGCATCACATTGGCACCACACCATCTTCTGCACTAGAGATAGCTTGAGCCACATCGATAACAGCACGTGTAATACACCCTACACGTTGCATCCAGGATGTTGCACCACATGCATTGCAAATCACACATTGAATCGCATGTACTGCACCCCTCCTATGGGACCGCATGGTTTGTATCCCTTTTACGTCGCGCCCCAGCGACGACGCCCTATAAGTTGGTTGCACCACGTGCGCAGTGCCCCATCCATTGCACCGCGTGGATTGTATGGCACAGGCAGAACCGTTCTTCTATGCCTATGCACACATGTATGATTATACATGTGCGTATGTGCACATCCATATATCTACACACTTATGTAGGTGTATTGCAGCACATACGTTGCACCCTACAACACAGCGTACCACCCGTATTGTACCTCGAGGGTGCAACCGCCCATTGGTCGGGGCCCGCGCTGGCAATCGTCAGTCCCGCTAGCCGAGGTTTGCCACCGTCCTGGTCTTTTTCATCGTGATCTATTTCCAGGCGGGCGCGCGAAAAGGCTGGCAGAGACGTCACCCCTCACTGCCACATCCGTGCCCCAGAATAACGACTCAGGCCTGCCACGGCCTCGTTCATCCCTTTTCATCTTCCTGGTCGGCCCCAGCGCGGGTGTGCAAAGGCAGTCGCCCCCTTCAGATTTCCTGGCGAGGTAGTTCCTTCTAAACCCATCGAGCACAGCCCCCGTCCCTCCCCCTCCGCCCTCCCCCCGTCTGCCCGATTTTTCGTCACTCCTCCCAAGCCCGCCCTCCTCACTGCTTTTTATCCTTCTTCCCCCTGCTCGCCATCCCGTGCATGGGCAAGAGTGTCTGCTCATTCGCCTCTACACCGAGTACCGGGGATGTCGTAGGATGAGGGGGATGGGGAGGACGCGCAGACTGGGAGGAGGCGGCGGTGGAGAGGTGTACGAGGACGAGGCGTAAGAGGGAGCGGGGAAGCATGGGAAGGGGATACAGATGATGCTGCTGCTGATGATGATGATGCTGATGAATGGCGATGACGATGACGATGATGATGCTAATGATGATGCTGATGATGATGCAGATGATGATGCTGATGATGATGCTGATGCTGATGCTGATGATGATGATGCTGATGCTGATGATACTGCTAATGACGATGATGAGGGCGATGATGAGGACGATGATGAGGATGATGATGATGATGATGATGATGATGATGATGATGATAGTGATGATGATGATGATGATGATGATGATGATGATGATGATGATGATGATGATGATGATATTGATGATGATGCTGATAATGATGATGATGATGATGATGATGATGATGATGATGATGATGATGATGATGCCGTTGCTGATGATGATCATGACGATCTTGACATGGTGATGATGGTGATAGTGGTGATGATGCTGCTGCTGAGGATGATGATGGTTATGATGATGCTGCTCTTGATGCTGCTGCGGACGATGCTGCTGACGATGCTGATGATGATGACGATGCTGCTGCAGCTGATGATGATACCTATGATGATATGATGATGCTGATGACGGTGATGATGATGATGCTGATGATGCTGATAGTGATGGTGATGGTGATGATGATGATGATGATGATGATGATGATGATGATGATGATGATGATGATGTCGATGCTGATGATGAGGATGCTGGTTTTGATGATGATGATGATCATGATACCGATGCTGCTGAATGTCGCTGATGAAACTGATGATGACGACGACGACGATGTGTATGCCGATGCGGCTGATGCTGCTTCGGATCATTCTGATGGTGGTGATGATGATGATGCTGATGCTGACACTGATGATGCTGGCGGCGGCGGTGACGACTAATATGATGAATCCGATGCTTCTGATGAGGATGCTGCTGATTGTGAAGATGGTGGCGATGATGATGACGATGCTGCTGATGATGCTACTGATGCTGATGATGACGAGGATGCTGATGATGACGCCCAGACTGAGCTGCGGCTGATGCTTCTGCTGTTGCTGATGCTGCTGATGATGATGTTTACGATGATTGCGATTCTGATGGGGATGCTGATGATGATGCTGATGATGATGCTGATGATGATGATGCGGAGGATGATGGTGCTGATGCTGATGATGATGATGATGATGATGATGCTGATGCGGATGATGATGATGATGATGATGATGATGATGATGATGATGATGATGATTATGATGATGATGATGCTGCTGATGATGACGATGACGATGCCGATGCCGACGACGATGATGGTGCTGATGCTGATGATGATGTTGATGCGGATGATGATGATGATGATGATGATGATGATTAATATGATGATGATGATGATGATGATGATGATGATGATGATGATGATGATGATGAGGATGATGATGATGATGATGCTGACGATGCTGATGCGGATGATGCTGATGATAATGCTGATGATGATGCGGCTGCTGATGATGTTGCTGCTGACGATGCTGCTGATGACGATGATGATGATGATGATGCTGCTGCTGCTGATGACGATGGTGATGCGGATGATCATGATGATGATGCTGATGATGACGCTTCTGATGATGGTGATAATTATAATGATGCTTGTGATGATCTCATGCTGATGACGATGCTGCTTCTGCTGGTAATGATGACGACGATGACGCTGCTGATGCTGATTGTGAGGATGTGGTTGCTGTTGTAGTCGTTGATATTGTTGTCGTGTTTGTTTCTGTTGTTGTTGGTGGTGCTGGTGGTGCTGTTTTTGTCGGTTTCGTTAATGTTGTAGTTGCTGCTGCTGCTGCTGCTGCTGCTGTTGTTGTTGTTGTTGTTGTTGTTGTTGTTGTTGTTGTTGAACATTATTTCTTCTTAAGAATAATTATTGTTGGGACCCCTGGTGCACCCCGCCGCGCCTAGGCCGCAGCCACATTTTCATCATTTTCGTGAGGAAGTCTCAGGCAAAACGGGGGAGTCCGGATCCGGTTGTGTTGTTACGATCGGTTTTCCCTTGCAAAAATTAAGCTAAAGTGGACATTTCTTGTTCTAACATAACCAAACTTCAAGAATCCCTTGCAAAACATAAGGTAAAGTGGACATTCGCGCGCGCAAGACGAAATCCTTCCAAAACCTTAGTTTTCGTAGCGATTTTAACATAAAAACATCAAAAAACCAATGTTTTTTTTTTTTAAACAAAAAAAAAATGTCAAACATTTCATCCCGCGCGCTCTTGCGGATTCGTAGGAAACCCAACACTTTTTAAACATTTCTGTCAAACGGGCTTTTGCGAGCAACTTTTTCGAACTTCTGCAACAACGGTTGCGCACCTGCCAGGGCCATCATCCCTGTCAAATAATACCATGCGGGACACATTCGTTTTTTCTTCGCGCGCGCACGCCGTCGTCGTCGGCCGCGGGGCCCTGAATAGTAGCCACGGTCGTCCGCATGCCACGAAGTGAAGTGTCCGAACGTCATAGGGCGGGAAGCTGGGTGTGGGTGGTGGCGAAGAGTCGTTTGGAAATTTGGTAGAGCTTGAACCGGCCCCCCCACAAAGTGGGGGTATTGCCCGCCTCCTATGAAAACCCTGGCACTGGTGAGAACGGAGTGTCCCCACGTGCTAGTAATTGTTGTTGTTGTTGTTGTTGTTGTTGTTGTTGTTGTTGTTGTTGTTGTTGTTGTTGTTGTTGTTGTTGTTGTTGTTATGTTTTTTGTTGTTCTTGTTGTTGTTCTTGCCATTGTTGTTATTTAATCGCTTCGCTCATTCCGCCGGCCCATAATGTCGCACCGTGGTCGCCTGTCCGAGTGGTCGTTTGCAGTGTGGAGCTGCGGCGTCGGGAGCTGTGTAGTTGTCGATAAATTTGTTGATGCTTCTTCATGGGGCTTCTAGGTGTTTGCAGTTTTTTGACGGCTTTGGTGCCATCGTGGGGGCGTGTTACCCGTGGTATCCCGCTGTGGGGCCGTTCGAGCCGGGGGAAAAGACATCTTATGCGATAGGGGGACCCTCGTGTCGGAGGGTGGCGGGCTTTGAATGCTAACATTGGCTCTGTTATCGTCCTGATGTCCTCTGGCGTTGCGGACACGGGCGTGAAGGAACACTTTCTTGTGGCGTTTCTCGTACCATCTCTTTTCTAATTGGACCGGAGGAGGAGGAGGACGACGACGACGACGAGGAGGAGGAGGAGGAGGAAGAGGAGGAGGAGGAGGAAGGAGGAGGGGGATGAGGAGCGATGAGGAGCGCCTTTGTCGTCGTCGTCGTCGCCGCCGCCGCCGCCCGCCGCCGCCGCCCGCCGGCGTCGTCGTCGTCGTCCTGGAGGGTCGAGGCTCGAGGCTGGAGGCCGAACGCGGGGAAGGAGGACCACCCCGACCCGCGTTTCCCAAGTCGCGTCTGGCTGGAGTCTTGGAGGCGTCCTGGGGGCCTCCAGAGGGTTTTTTTGGAGGCCTCCAGAGGGCCTTTTGGAGGCCTATTGAGGCCTCTTGAGGGCCTCTTGGGGGCCTCTTGGGGCCTTTGGGGGCGTCTTGGGGCCTCCCGGGAGCCTCTACGGGCCGAGAGCTCGAAATTCTGTTTCGTGAACCCCCTCTTGGGGCGTTCTTGAAGCGTTCTTGGGGCCCTCTTGGGCCGTCTTGGAGGCCTCTTGGGCCGTCTTGGAGCCGTCTTGGGCCATCTTGGAGCCCTCTTGGGGGCCTCTTGGGCCCTCTTGGGGCGATCTTGGAGGCCTCTTCAGCCGATTAGGGGCGTCGTGGAACCGAAAAGGTTAAAACGCCCAAATCTGTCCAAAACGTATGGAAAAGCATTGTTTGTTTGCCTCTTGGGGCCCTTTTGGGAATGCACTTGGAGACCTCCTGGGGATCTTGGAGGCTTCTTGGGTCATCTTGGAGACGTCTTGGGCCGTCTGGAGGCCATCTTGGGCGTCGTGGAGCGATATTCGGGCGTCTCGGACCTCTCTTGGACCGTGTTGGGGGCGTTCTTGGGGCCCTCTTGGGCCGTCCTGGAGGCCTCTGGGGCCGTCTTGGAGCCGTCTTGGGCCGTCTTGGGGCCCTCTTGGGGGCCTCTTGGGCCCTCTTGGGGCGATCTTGGAGGCCTCTTGAGCCGTTTAGGGGCGTCGGGGAACCGAAAAGGTTAAACGCCCAAATCTGTCCAAAACGTATGGAAAAACATTGTTTGTTTGCCTCTTGGGGCCCTCTTGGGAATGCACTTGGAGACCTCCTGGGGATCTTGGAGGCTTCTTGGGCCATCTTGGAGACGTCTTGGGCCGTCCGGAGGCCATCTTGGGCGTCGTGGAGCGATCTTTGGGCGTCTCGGACCTCTCTTGGACCGTGTTGGGGGCGTTCTTGGGGCCCTCTGGGGCCGTCTTGGAGGCTTCTGGGGCCGTCTTGGAGCCGTCTTGGGCCGTCTTGGGGCCCTTTTGAGGGCCTCTTGGGCCCTCTTGGGGCGATCTTGGAAGCCTCTTGAGCCGTTTAGGGGCGTCGGGGAACCGAGAAGGTTAGAACGCCCAAATTTGTCCAAAACGGTCCAAAACGTATGGAA